AGCTATTCAAAAACAACATTGACACTCAAGGGAAGCTCAGATTGAACCTCCACTCTTTGAGCGTGAGTGAACTTTTAGAATACAGGCGTTAGACTGTTAGTGTCGTTCCTTACTATGTGACTACTCACCCTCCAGCTATTCAAAAACAACATTGACACTCAAGGGAAGCTCAGATTGAACCTCCACTCTTTGAATGTGAGTGAGCTTTTAGAATACGGGCGTTAGTGTTCCACAGTGTAAACCAGTGTTTAAGACTACCACATATAATGAAAAGAATGAACATTATTTTCTCATTCTGATAACCGCAGGTTGACCCTCATCTGCTGCACGATACTGCTCAGTGAAAACCTAGCTATAATTTCAAGCTCACCAGGAATATTTCCATTCGCCATGTCGTGAGATGAGATGTTGTACGTATCTTGAAGTAAATATATCGCTGATATTGATCCGTAAAGATCTTCCTCTACTGTAGGAAAATATGGCTGGAAGTCATCTAACTGGCCTAAAATATCTACAAGGAAGGAAGGTATAAGATGAGCATGCACGCTCCAGAAACGTTGTGACCAAGGAGTTGTCTGTTCTCAAACTGAGGTTTGATTCCTGTAATATCCAGTTGTCTGATTATAATTTCACCTCAGTCACATGTGAGAAGAATGCTTCCAGTTTGACTCTACCAAACACCACAGGTTTCCTCCTGCAATAAGAGATGATCCTACTGGACCTCTATGGAGAACAGTTTAGAACTGATAGAGCTATCCAGTATAAATAAAGTTAGTTTAGTTTAGGTTTCCTCCTGTAGTAACACTGGATCAATAAGAGATGATCTTTACTGGACCTCTATGGAGAACAGTTTAGAACTTATAGAGTTATCCAGTATAAATAAAGTTAGTTTAGTTTAGGTTTCCTCCTGTAGTAACACTGGATCAATAAGAGATGATCCTTACTGGACCTCTAGGGAGAACAGTTTAGAACTGATAGAGTTATCCAGTATAAATAAAGTTAGTTTAGTTTTCTTCCTGTAGTAACACTGGATCAATAAGAGATGATTCTTACTGGATCTCCAGGGAGAACAGTTTAGAACTGATAGAGTTATCCAGTATAAATAAAGTTAGTTTAGTTCAGGTTTCTTCCTGTAGTAACACTGGATCAATAAGAGATGATCCTTACTGGACCTCCAGGGAGAACAGTTTAGAACTGATAGAGTTATCCAGTATAAATAAAGTTAGTTTAGTTTTCTTCCTGTAGTAACACTGGATCAATAAGAGATGATCTTTACTGGATCTCCAGGGAGAACAGTTTAGAACTGATAGAGTTATTCAATATAAATAAAGTTAGTTTAGTTTAGGTTTCTTCCTGTAGTAACACTGGATCAATAAGAGATGACTCTGACTGGATCTCTAGGAAGAAAATTTGGAACTGATAGAGCTCTAGTGCAGTATAAAAAAACTTAGTTTAGGTTTTCTCCTGTAGTAACACTGGATTAATAAGAGATGACTCTTACTGGGAGAACAATCTCCAGGGAGAACAATTTGGAACTGATAGAGCTCTGCAGTATAAATAAAGTTAGTTTACTTCGACAAGTACCAACCTTTTCATTGAATCCTATTCTCTCTAAACATTTCAGAGACTGTGAGAGGGAATTATCACTTTCACAAAATGCTTCTCTAGGTAGCGAAGGTACATATCTGTATAAGAAAAATAGTCAATCATTTAGAAACTTTGAAAATATTGTTGAGAGGGTCATCGTCTTCACTGGATCGTCTTATAAATCACGCTGTTACCTGTGGTCCTCGTCAAGGAGGTATTTCTGCAATTGCTCTGAATTGAGTCCATTTAACAAACGATGGAAGATATGGAAGCTGCTCTCACCCTATTTTAAAAAGAGAAAGTTGAAACTGTGGCGAATCAAATAATGCGGTTTAGGTGAGGTTAGGCCGCGGTTCTGTTGCGGTTATGCCGCGGTTTTGCCGCGGTTTTGAACTAGTTCGATTGTGTGGTTTCTCCAGGTATGTAAACTGATAAACATGGCATACTTTGATTTGACTGATCACACGCATCTTCTCAAGAATATTGATTTTAACATTGACTAGAAATAAAAAATAGTTGTGTTATACTATTATATAAATAAAACAAACATTGACGCTATAGTCCTTTCCGATGACTCACCTCCGAGTACGCGATGTTCCTTAGAGTCAAAAAATACTTCATAAACTTTCAGACAACGTGTTGAATTAGAGCAAATCAATGTTCTGGCATTACAGAAGATGTCCAACACTTCATTGATCTGAAGAAAAGGTGAAAAATACACTGAGTATGAGTTTGTCTTGTAGTACGAGGTGGGATCTTACCTCACTCTCCCACAGTCAAATTTACTTTGAACAAGTTAAGATCAGCTTGTAAGGCAGGCGTTTGGAGGTTGGAATAATAGAACCCAAAGGCCCATGGACATGTTCATTCTCAACATTCAACGCGGGAGAAGCGATTGAGAACGAGTCAGGAATCTTACCATAGCTCAGTGGATCTTCCTAACCACCTTACTACCTCCTTGCATGGTGTCAAACCTGCAGTTATCAGAGCGAGAAAATAATGTTCATTCTGTTCATTATATGTTGTCTTGTATTTGGAGGAAAAATGAATAGAATTGAACGCTCTGCCCTGGAACGCTCTGCCCTGGAACGATCTGGAACTGCCCTGGAACCCACCAATGATCATAACATTTCGAAAGCGCAGTCTACGGCAACTTACCGCCAAGATTTCGTCTTTAGACCACTGCTCCTGTGCGTGACAGCGCAGCGCAAGGTAGTGCAAGATCATTTGAACATTGCTGGATTTCCCAGAACCACTCTCTCCCAACGGAATGATGACGCCATCTGAACCATTTCTAACGGCTTTCTCCGCTACACTGCACGGGTGGGGTGGGAGGGGATGGTGTTTGTCTTTGCTTTTGTAACAACGGAGAAAATCTACAACCTACAATGATATTTATGTTTTTATCCTGGAGTGCTTAATATTGCTCGGAGGTAATACAGTACTCTACTCTCTATATATGTTCTTTCCGGAGTTCAACTTGTCTATAAGACAAGGAGACTTTTGGGATTGACTAGACTTGGGATAAGGACATATTACAGAAAACTTGGGAGCACTTGCTCCTATGCCCCGATTCTTCGGTATGCATCAGTGAGCTGTATAATAACTGGCCAAAATCCGCCATGTTTTTGGCTTCACTTTTTTATGCCGAGCACGTCCTCCAGTAATACAGTGTAGCTCAGTGGTATACATTCATAGGAATGATAATCATTTGCTAAACCTTTTAAAAAGGTCAATGAACTTCCTGTTGGATATTCTGTTCATACGCAGGCAGAAACGTATTAATTAAATCCCCGGTAATCTTGTCATGACTTCAAAAGAAAAAACATTTGAAAAAAAAACTATCTATTTTCTCGTTTCACGCAAAACATTTCAAGCATTTAAGAAATAGCAATGTATAGACAGACAGACACTATACATAAATCACACGCGTCGGATGTCAATGTTGTAAGATAAACTACGTCGGTGTTTGTAAGAGTATATCGCTTTGTTTATTTTTTGTTTAATTCGTTCGTCTGGTATTATTTTTCCTGCAGAGTTTAAAATAACTTCCTGCTGAGTTGAAAATATTTCCCTCTGTCATTATGGCATGGAGTGACATATAACGTGACTTTAGCCCATCTTCACACGAGGACAAATTCGGAGACAATCGCAGTCCTCCGCGCGCAATTCGTACAGTTAGACCCCGACGGTACCGGACGAATTTGGGACCTGTTTGAAATTCGTCCTTTTTCGCCTGTTTACACGCGAATTCGTCCTGTTAGGGGATCTCAAATTCGTCCTTTTTCGCCTGTTTACACGCGAATTCGTCCTGTTATGGAGTCTCAAATTCGTCCGGTTCCGTAGTTCTCGTCCCAAATTCGTCCGGTACCATGTAAACGGGGTCTTAGCCGTGCTCGTATCCATCCAGTTTTATCTGCGTCGTTTGTTGTCACGTCAGGCCACCAGCATCACGCGAGGTTTAACACCAGATATCTATGTTTAACACCGCTTAGCGTAGACGTGAACTCAGGACAGCTTTAAATATAATATATAGTACCTCTTTCTCAGCATGTTTAAGGGACTTCCAGGGATTCACAGTGACCAGCACGTCTCCTGCATCGACCTAAAAATATACATAAAATCAGAACATAAACATGTTTTCGTTTATCAGTCAAAGCTGTCGTGACCTAGTTTATATAGATGTCGATTTAGACTAGTCTTGTCTTTTTATTAGCCTGTTCACATGAGACTACACTTGCAATACAAAAGTATAATACAGCATGTGTGCTCAGGTTCTTTCCTGATTGCAGAGATATATCAATACTATATTACATCGGCCACCTTATAGTCTGTTTGAAACCGTTAAGGCCCATGTAAACGATACTAGTGGCATACGATTCCTATCCTGGCGTATGTTGAATAAATGCGTGTAAAGATGTCAGATTTCGCGCTAAAACTGATAAACAGGAGTGAGTGATGGCAACTGTCGTTTTCGTACGCCAGAATGACAATCGTGTACTACAAGTTGTGTCGTGTAGATGGGTCTTCACGAGTAAATGGAAAACAGATTTTGGTCCAGAGTTGTACTGGAGATTCCCAGAGCAGCGAAATATGATAACTTTACTTGTGTGTACATAGTAGCTACTACACACACAATGTGTTATCATACGGCGAGCTTTGAATAATACAAGATTAAGAAACCGTTTATATATAATGTGACCTCACATTTAATAGAAAGAAATTTTAATTTACAAATTCTAAAGTATAATCTGACCAGTCAACAGACAATTTCAGAAAGCCTGATTAGCGCCATCCGACCTTCGACGACTGAGGCCAGACAAAGTTTTCCTATACCTAGATGACAATAGCCGAAAAATACGAGACTGAAGAAACTACTTGGACATTTCATGGGAACACATGAGGCTGTATTTATATTTTTTATGACTTGTGTGGTTAGATCCAATCTCGTCGTTTAATCCTAAACACTGAATTATCTATCCAAAATTCTTATTTCGATCAGAGAAACTTTAAAGCAGCCTTCGCAATAGAATATACTCTTTACTTACATAATATTGTTGTCTCTGAAAACGTTCATCCAAGATACGCACTACATCTTCTTCAGATTTCAAGCCACATTCTACAAGATCCTCCATTTCTACAATCTCAAGATTTCGTCAACTGTTTATACAAAATGTCAAATCCATATTTAGTATAAGGGACTAGGTAAACAGATATCCCGAACGAATCGAATCGTGAAATGTATGCATCCAAATGTTACACTCACTCAATTTCAGTTATTCAACATCAAATTCGGCCGTTTGCCGCAAAAACTAACAATCCGTGTGTCGCATACAATTTCAAATAACTTTTGCCCTCTAGTACAAATATGATATAGTATCAAATTACAGAAATCACGAATCGGAACACGTCTGGAATGCAATTTCAAGGAAAATTGTTAAACGTTAATAAATTTGCATCGGCATTACATTGATAGGTTAAGCTTTGGGGTTTCAACTGACTACAATAGACAATAGGATGAAAACGTTCATATGTTAACCCAACATAGATATTTGTTTAAGGATTACGTCAGAGTGTTATGAGTTATGCGATATCTTGGATAAATTTTATTAATTACGTAAATGGGCATTCTTATTGTGCAATTTACGAACTCTTGGTACCACCCCAAGGGGGCAGTTTAGTTTAGGTTTCCTCCTGTTCTAATACTGAATCAATAAGAGATGATCCTTACTGGACACTAGAGAGAACAGTTTAGAACTGACAGTACCAGATTGCTCCGTGTACAAACTTATGACGCAAATCACGAGTTTGAACGTGCGCGTGCTGCACAGATTGCGTGTCGTGTTTTTAGCAATTATGACGTCATAATGAACACGATTGATTTTCGGCAAGAAATCAAGTAATGGCTGTAAAATTCCATTCCTCAGGCGACGCAATCCTGAGTTACTGTACAGTATTTTCAATGTACATAACATTATGGAATATGGAGAGGCAGAGTGATACTTTATTGCTGTTATTATACTATTCAGACTTCTTTTATTTTGCTCAATATGTATGTGTAAAGCTCTCTCAATCTTGGCAAGAGTTTCACACTCAAAAACCAACAAGGTAGGTGCAGGGCTGTGTGTGTGTGGGGGGGGTTACACTATCAAAGTTTCTGTGATCACAGTAGGAATTTTGTACAGGTAAAAATTTGAAGGATTTGTAAGAAATGTTTGATGGAAGTGACTCGGTGTTAAATACTGAGTCAGTTCCATAGAAATATTTCTATGGTCAGTTTCCTCAAATATTTCTTGCAAATTCTTCAAAAATTAGAATTTACCCATGCAAAAGTTCTGCTGTGATCACAAAAACTTTGAAAGTGTGAACCAGGCTTTACAGCAAGCTAACAACATCTGCACTCAAAATTTCAAACATCTATGCCAAAAAACAAATGTAGTTTCGATGTTTCTGTGTTGGTATGATGTACTCAGGTGAATGATGCTTGTGATGTTACTCTGAGTGCCGATATCCGGTTCAGAAATATCGCATACTCGAACCGTCCTGACCGCGTAGCTCAGTTGGCAGAGCATTGGGCTAGTATTCCAAAGGTCGTAGGTTCGATTCCCACCGTGGCCAGGCATATTTTTCAAGCTCGCCCGGTGTGGATATGCACTCAGAGTAACAACACAAACATCAAATGTAGTTTCCTTGTCGTAATTTTGACGGTGTTATTTTTCTAGGCAAGGCATTGATGAAGGAGACATCAGCTTAGCCGAGTCATTACCATTTTTTACGACACCAATTTCGCTCTTACCGTTTCATGTGGTGTTTAAGATGGGGCTAGACCGAGGATGTTTTTATCAGTTTGTTTGTTTTCTGCGACTGTTCACGCTCTTTCAAGATGGGAGGATACAAATGAACTGGGACGAGAGAAACACGGCACACACAGGTCAGTGTTCATATAGCCTGCGTGGCAGGCGGTTTTTTTACGGGCTGCGAAAATTATGGAGGCAATGGAAACCTAGTTTTCACAGCCCGTACAAAAATCCGCCTGCCACACAGGACAGTGTTCATATTCAACGATGAATTATAGCTTGCGCCATTCATGATACACGTGAACGACAGCTAAGGCTAAAGGCTCGGTTTTTGGTCAGGGGGGGACATTCAAACCACAATAGAAAACTCTACTTGTATTTTCCACTTCGACCGTATCGTAGCGTAGCGTATTCCTTTGTTTCTTGAGCACTAGAGTAGAACTAATGACTTCGACACAAAAGAAAATGCTACGATACGATACGGAAGTGGAAAACAGTCTTGGCGTAAAACTCACTACAACTATTTCAAGACTAGATCAATGGACCTATTCCCTAATGAACAAAAGTTTGATCTAGACAAGTCTAGACAAAAATTTCATCACAGCTTGAAAGAGCATCACAAAATTAGTAATATTCCGAAGTTTCGTTGCGAAATGTTGTAAAATGCGGAAAATATAACCCTACGAAGTTTGCCGTTTTTCAGTCATTTTGTATTATATACGCACAGGAAATTGATACCTTTCTTCAGAAAGCGGTATCAATTTCCCGCGCGTAATACAAAATGACTGAAAAACGGCTAACTTCGCAGGGCTATATTACTGATCCGCATTTTACAACATTTCGCAACAAAACTTCGGAATATTACTAATTTTGTGATGCTCTTTCAAGCTGTGATGAAATGTTTGTCTAGACTACTTGTCTAGATCAAAATTTTGTTCATTAGGGAATAGGTCCATTCTCTTATATGTTACGCTTTAACAATTCATTTCAGACACTGAACTGAGCTCGCGGGCGACTGGAAGTTCGTCTTATCCTGCTCGGGTTTCACCATCACAAAAAACTACAGTAAGTGTTTTGTGCTGAGAGTGTTTCGACAAACCACGCCAGTATTAGTAGACAATATTGTTTTTAACTTACAGGTACATCTGGAGTGCCAGTGTCAATGCAGATTAAGAACAACAGTTTTTGACGACAGTAATAAAACACAGTTAAATATTTCGTAATATTTAACTAAAATATGATCAATTGTCAGATAATAATTTAGTCTCGCAAAGCAACAATAAAATGTACTTTTTATTATAATTTATTTACATTAAGATCTTGTAGCGACAAAACCAGATATACTGAAATATACGTCTTACCATCCTGGTGTGTAAAACTCACATATTAGTAATAGAATTATAGAGTGTACCGCTGACATCAAGCAACTGCAGCCGCCTTCTCAGACTCGGCGTGTTCTTGCATCCTCCGTTCCAGTTCAGGCCGGAAATGACGTATCAAACCCTGAAGACAGAATAGCTCTATGTCAATATCAAACTACTAAACTAACTTTATTTACACTGGATAGCTCTATCAGTTCTAAACTGTTCTTCCTAGAGGTCCAGTAAGGATCATCTCTTATTGATCCAGTGTTACTACAAGAGGAAACCTAAACTAAACTAACTTTTTTTATACTGGATAGTTCTATCAGTTATAAACTGCTCTTCCTAGATATCCAACAAGAGGCAGCCCTTATTGATCCAGTGTTACTATAGAAGGAAACCTAAACTAAACTAACTTTATTTATACTGAACAACTCAATCAGTTCTAAAGTAAACTGTTCTTCCTAGAGGTCCTCTAAGAGTTATAATTTCCACAATACCTGTGCAGGCCACGCAGCGCCATCGCCCAGAGCGCAGATCGTATGACCTTCAATTTGTTTACTTAATTCCTGAAACAAGGATGAACAACTTTAGACATGTCGTATGACATTCTAAATATTTCTTCAACACAGAACTATTTACCCATAACATGTCGATTTCCGAAGGTTTAGCATTGCCACTTGCTAGAAATGGTAAGAGAATAATCAAATCATTTATTCCTTCACATTTACTACCAAGCATAGTCTAGCACTTAGTTTATCAAAAGAATTTCTTACCAAATCTATACATGATTTTAGTCATCCAGCCTGTTCCCTCCCGACATGGAGTGCACTACATTAAAAAAATGCCTGGCTATAACGCTTGCCGAAAACATACAGGTGGACTTTAGAGCCACAAACTGTGAAAAAAGTGAGATGGATGTACAGTGTAGTATAAAAAAAGTAGCCAGCAGTAAACCTCGACCGCAGCTGGGGCTTCGGTGGGACTTTGGTGGAGGAGCAGTTATCAGAACAAGCGCCTTTCACCTCTGAGTTCGTGGGTTGGATTCTCGCTACGGACTCATGTGAAAAGAGTCAGTCAACGCTCTGCCGAAAGTCGTGGGTTTTCTCCGAGTGCTCTGGTTTCCTCCCACAGGGAAAGTTGACAGGGTGGGTTAGGATAAACACAGTTAAGAAAGTAATATCACAATTGTTG